AGTAAATTCACTTATTTAGCTATAAGATGTCTGCTTATTAAAATATTTGGTTATAATAAATATACAGATATAGAATTTTATCAGGATTAGTCCACATTTATAAACCATGTTCCACAGCAGCTAAATTTCTTATAGCAAACAGCAAAATTAGGCATATAAATTTCAAATAAGAATCTCAAACTATGAGGTTTCTCTAACTGGTATAAAGATTTTGAGTATATTATATCTTTAGATTATTTCTGTAAATTGGTATAATTTAATTGTAGCTTCAGAAAAGGAGGTTCAACAGATTGTATTTCTAAGGCATTAGAAAAGCTCAAGACAACCAATTCCAATTAGATGTTGTGCTGTGCCCTATCCAAAGACTCCCTAAGGAATTACAGATTTTATACCTGTGCACTGAGAGTGCATTTTCTAATTCAGACAAGTAACTAGTTATGTCAAATCCAAACCTGAAGAAAGTTTTATACCACCCTTTCTGAGAGAAAACCCCCCCCAACACCAGCATTTTTATTTAGGTTGACAATAACCATAACTTGAAGTGCCCAAACAACCTGATTAACTCAATGGTTTAAAATAATTGGAAGAAATACTTTTCCTTCACTTTTACAGAAATTGAATTTATTGATATTAGTATCTGGTTTGTCAAAGAGGCAACTATTCAAGATCTAAAAGACTCATTTATTTTAAATACATAGCCTAATTCTGACTACTTATAGTCAATGGCACTGTCTTGAGCCAAAATACAATAAAAATGTAAGATAAACTTCAAAGGTTTTATAAGTATTAATAGCATTCTAAAGTCTCTGGACAGAAGACTGTTTCGGGGAGGAAGAAAGCTTCTCTTCTGCATTGATAGTTTAATCACTTTCTAATCAATTTTGATTTAACAGTGGTTAATGGGATACATTTTTAATGAGTTCTTATAAAGTTGTAATTGCTTCCAAAATCAGAAACCACAAGATGATGTACTCAAACACTACACCGATGTAATGCTGTTATGGAGGTATTTACAGAAAGGTGCAGATCAGAGCTCAGTTGTGAACACAAGTTAACATACAATGGACTCCAAAACAGTAATTTGTTTGTACAGTATGGCAAGAAAAAATATTCTGAATAAGAAGTATAAAAATCTAGCTCTATTTTTAATCCACTTCTATAAATCATAAAAACAAAGGAAAACAGGCATTTATTCTAGAAACTCCATATACCTGTGGAAAATGGAACACAAGTAATTTTTATTCAAGATTAACCTTAATTCCAAATAGAGTACAGCTAACAATTTACATATTTAAATTTTTGAAAATATTGTAGGAGTCTAAACTGTTAGAGGTGACAGTAGTTTGTGCTCAGTAAACATTTTCTGTTAAATAACACAAGCAAATTAACTTAAGGTACAAACTGATAGTTCTCAGGATTTAAAAATCTTGTAATTTCAAAGGCACAGAGTTATAGCACATGTATAGGATGGGCTTTAAAAATGGGTACACGTAAACTTTTCCATGGTGTTGGTGTATGTGTTTTTTTTTCCTTAAAGTGCTTACAGTGTTAAAGAATCTCCATCACTCTGTCTACAGTTTTCAACCAGAAGTCCTCACTGTACCTTAAGCCAAATTGAATATTAGGTATTTTACAGCTTTTTACAAAATGGCTGTAAAATCACATTATGGGCATACACAGCTCTTTGATCTCACTGCAGAGAATTCATAACTGTTCAATAATGCTATACCATTACACCACACACCTTAAACTATTTCCATTTTTCCACAATTCCTTCCAAAATCAGCTTCCAAAGCAAAGCAACGTAACTTGAAAAGTTCCTGGGAGGGCTTGTTACACAAAAGAACAATTTGGAAACAAACTAATCTACACAATATCCATCTTCTGTTGAGCTTGTTTACCCCTCCTTTCCCTCCATCACTCCTAAAGGTGGGCGCACTTGAGTAATGGAAAGAAGGCTCTTCCATCACCACACACCCTCCCAGCACCTCTGCTTTTGGTCCTCAGACAGTGATTCTGTGTAGGTGATGAAAACCATAGGAAAAGAGAGGCTGTCCCTTTAAAATGCCCTGCTCTGTCCCATATCCCACGTGGAACCAACATCAGCAGCACTTTCCCATTAACTTCAATGTGATGCAAGAGGCACCATGCTTTTATATACATAAAGCCAGAAAACATTCAGCTTAACATTCTTTACTGAGGATGAACAGGTGAAGCAAACGTGTCAGGAAGGGAGAAGCCAAGCAACTCCCCACCCCTCCCCAAAAGGTGCTCCAGGCTCGCACTCCAGTCTCTCAGTGCAACATCACCTCTCTACCCCTCCTCTGTAGAGCCTAGTTTAAATAAAGGAGGGAGCCACTAACAAAACCTGAAGTATAAATGCGACGAAAATGCAATCTAGAGCCGGAAAGGTTTATTCTTCCAATCACACATATTAACTCTATTAAGAAAAATGGCATCACTTTTTTCCCCACCAAACCCCCCCAAACCGCAAAGATCATTAAAAGAGAGTTATAAAATTGCAAATATAGTGTTTATCTTATCTCAGATCAGTCCACATTACCAATAAGTTTAGCAGTTTCTGCACTACCACCTCCCCCCTTCCTCCCCCTCCTTCTCTTGCATCGGATTTTCACGTTTTCTCATTGTCGGTTGAGTTATAAAAGGCTTTTGCCCTTCGAAAGTTTTAAAAAAATAAATAAATATTAACTCCTTGGTCCCTGCAAAGTCAAAATGGACTTCAGGGGAAAGGCGGTTCATACTTTTACCTTTAGCGAGAAAAGGGGGAGCATCCCGGATTTTTAGGGATTTTTTGCGATTTTTTAAAAATTTTTATTTGGTTATATGCCTGAGTTCTCCCTCCATTTTGGTTGTTTATGATACTGACAACAAGCTGTCCCTGCTCTGTGCAGATCTCCTGCTTTCATTTAGCACCCCCTCCCCCTACCCCCCCCTCGCAGCCACACATCCAGGGTTCACACCTCCCCGAAGACCCCGCACCCGGACCCCGACTCGCCCACCTGAGGAAAGGGCAAAAACAAATTCATTTCTCCAAAAAAGAAAAACCTCTTTTGAAAAAGGGGCAAAGTTACCCCAAGTCACTCAAAGTGCCCCCCAAATATTGCCGACTGCGGGTTTCCGCCAGGCCCTTTGGGAAGCGACCTTCCCCCGGGATGTTTTGGTGGAAAATGCGGAGAGTTTACTCTCAAAACTGAATTTATATTAATTTTTCCCTTATTTTTCGGGTCTCTAATGTCTTCCGCTCTCGCTGCTGCCGCTGCCGCTGTCACAATATTCACAGCACCAGAGAGGAGGAGGAGGAGGAGGAGGAAAACTTTTCAAACTTTCCAGACCCTGAATAAAGGTTTTTTTTTTTTTTT